GCAAATATGCATAAATTAGTTTAATTGGTGCAGTGTAATACTAATAATTTAAATTGTATATTTAAATTTTCGTAAAAATGAGGTTTTTGATTTGATCGATAAAATAAAAAATTCATTACATTTTTTGAATCATCCTGTATAAGCAATTCTAAAAACTGTGAATGCATTGATAAACCACAAGTATAAAATTTTACATATTTTAGATAGGATTTATTCTGCAAAAATTTGACATGGCGTCATCAATTTTTGGGGAGGAGGTAAACTGCTGACTCCAAGAGTACGAAACATAGGTGTTCCGTTTCCGTCGGCCTGTCTGTCTGGCGTCTGTGGTGACCACCCACAATGGGATGATACTAAATATTTAAATTTTATAAAATAATATTTTCCTGCACTTGTGGTTTATGAATCTGTGTTGAATTTTTACCCTACACATCCATATTTTTGGAAGAAAAATAAAAATTGTAGTAACAACATGTTACAATTTATTTAATTTTAAAACTGCAAAACCGAATGCGCTGCAATCTTCCAAACGTTTTAAGCTTATCGTGAATCCATTTATCCCTTCCCAAAAAGTTGATGATGTCATCTCAAAACTTTGCTGACTAAATCGTATGTAAAATATTCAGAATATTATGATTCTATACCTGTAACAATGCGTTCATATAATAGTTCTATTAAACAGAATGACTCAAAAAAATATTGAATGAAATCTATTTTATTGGTTAAATTAAGAACGCCTCGCCCCATTTGCCCGAAATTTTTAATATATATATATATATATATATATATACAGTACTCTTATTATTAGTAATATTTTCAAACTGATATGCGTATCCTTGTAAAAATGTTGATAACGTCATCACAAAATTTTGTTATGGAAAAACTCACTTGCACTATACGCATAGCATGCTTCTTTAGCTGTTCTGTAAAAATCTACTTACACATATCTTTATTTTAACTAACGGGGATTAATAGGAAAGTTAAAAAATTGAAGAATTGTTCTATTTTATTTTTAGAAAATTATCAAGACATGTTAAAACTGTTAAATTAACAATTTCAATTGTAAGTCTAATTCTTTGTATGAAAATAACTGCCCCGCGTAATTTGGAAAATTGTAAAATAATTTTTGTGTTCCGAATATAGCTACGTGTACAGGTATTTTTGCAAAGATCCGTTCGCGCGAAAGAAAATGTGTTCCGGGTTGGCCAGTCTTCAAGTCTGCTTGAAGTCTTTTAGTGTTTTATGTGGATGAAATGTCATTGTGTGACAATTCCAGATGCCATAATCTAAAATAAGTTTAAGTATTCTTTTTGACCTCATTCATAGCACAAATTCGATTGTTTTTGATGAGTTTGTTGTCTGCCATTAACAGAGTCAAAATGGATGTGTTGCAGTTTACAACATGCGCTTATTAAAGATAATGAAATAATTTGAAGAAAATTTAAACAAATGAAACACAGCAGTGCTGCATGCAACATGTGATGGATAAATAGAGATCCCTTCCTGTGAATTTTTTACATACTGTAGACTACAGAATTACAGATATGTACTTGCAAATTGGTTGCCCGTTTTTTGAACGTCAAACATGATCTCGCACAGTTATTAAGTGGCATGACTAGAATTTCTTTCTCCTATTTGGCGCCTTCTGCTGTCTCTGTTTGTGTATCTGTTCTATTATAATACACCTGACTAATCTGGCTGATATTTAAGCTATAAGTGCTATAGAAAGAGCAGAAGTTAACAAGTATCTAATAACAAACTATTGCTTCTGATTTACCACAAACAACATATAAATGTTAATTTTATTTGCAAACACTATTTTTTTTTAAGAATAATCTTTCAATAAAGGCGGCATATATTGATAGAAGCCAAAAAGAGATAAAATCTAATGAATATTGCTGCCAATTCCACTTGATAAGAAGCTTAAATGAAATTACTAAATTAAGAGAAGTGACAACTTTGCGAGTTTAAAATAATACGTATATTGATAGAACACTAGTATACGTATTTCGGTACACAGTACCGTCCTCAGACAAAAGCGTCACTCTTCTGCCTGAAGACGGTACTGTGTACCGAAATACGTATATTAATGTTCTATTAATATATTCTTTTAAACTCGCAAAGTGTTTACGTTTCTTAATTTGTTGGAGATGGAGTTTAAAAAGTCAAAGCCTTATCAATACAGTTATTAACTGAAATTGTCGCAGAAAGAATAATTTAATTTAACTTTTCGTAAATACACTACGAAATAGAATAATTATTTAATCATATTATTAGTAGACTCATTTCGATTTTTACGTAAAACTTTCTCTCGCAAATAAATAATTCTTAACGCTTTGTTATTACTGTCGGTTTTAAATTGCTAGCTCTTCACCCTGTAATTATAGTGCCGTAATACAAACGAGATTTTATTACTCAAACAAAGCCAAAAATCCAATGATTGCTTTAACAAAAGAAAAAAAAACTTTAACGGGGTTCAAACGATGAACCTGGAATTATGAAGAAGAATATTGTTTGTTACACTTCTGTAGCAATTTGATTGATCATGAAGCAATTACATCATGTTGCACGACGTCGGAATCGTGTGGACAGAACCTAATTAACACTATATTTTCTGTGTTTAAGTTTATAACTGCATGGCGCTATTATATTATGGTGAATGACTACTGTCAAGTTTCCTCGACTTCATATGACCCCTAGAGTACGAAAAAATAGCTTTCCTGTTGCCGTTTTTACATTCTCGTTACATTCCCTTTCCGTCATCTGTCTGGGTGTAGTTTGTGGTTGTCTCGATTTTTGTTAAACATATAATCTCCGAAAATACCGGCTGATTGTTGTCAAATTTGTATGTATCTTAGGAATATCATATAACCAAAATTTATCTAATCATCCCCACCAATAATCTTATGACCCCAACAAAATATATTTAAATTTTAGAAAATAACGCATTCGTGGTTTATGAATCCACCTGGACTTTGTTTATTAATTTAATTATACTGTAATTTTTATTGTTAATCCCTCCTCCAGTTTAGATACATAATACGAAGTTCGATAAGCGGATCTCGTAGAGTAGATAATCGAGCGCCCATTTTGCAAATAAAATTTCCATTGATGAACTCAAGAACGATTCACCTCATTTTTCGAAAATGTAAGAATACAATAATGTCGCGCCCAACTATATTTATAACAGCTATGCACTCAAGATAATATTCAGACGATTTTGCTCCTTTGCAGCTTAATTAATAAGTTAGGTCTCTCATCTGTTTGGTGGAGACAAAATCAATCAAATTTTCATTTTCTTTTAACCCAAATGCATACTTTGACCTGCCTCCGAATTCTTTCGAAGTATAAAGATAAACAGTTGAAGTTACGCATGTACTGAGAATACATTTTTGCCTGTTGTTATCTTATAAAACTGACCGTGCCCTCTTAGAACGTAGGCTGCCGTGACGCAGGGGCTGCGGGGGTGTTATTTACGCCACTAGATAGCATGCTTCTTTAGCTGTACTTAACAGTCCAGAGATATATTTTTTAATTTATCGAGGAAGCTGTATTTATTAGATTGTAGTTTAGGGACGAGGAAATTTGCGTCTAAATAACAATTCTTTTTTAATTGCAATTGAAAACATTAACTCAATTACATCATTGTAAAGACAAAAAAGAACTCTGCGTAGTGGATTTAAAAAATATGGACCTTTTTGTTTGGGATAGTCACTTCTGGAAAAACTTTTTAATAAAGTTATAATTATAGTTTGCGTCAGAGTGTATCAAGAAGTGTGGACTCGATGTCGTTTCATGCTATTACTACTTGTCGGCATATTCACTGTGATGAGAAAAATATCTAAATGACAATAGGGTCACATTTGTTCACTTGTCTGTCCTACATTAAAGAAAGCCTAGTTATGTGGTCCATATACACAGAATACTCAACAACTGCAGCTGTTTTTCGGTTTTAAAAAATACAGTAACTTCTTATCGACAAATGGCCTACACATTATTAATGTTCCAGAGATTTTATAAATTAAATACTATTCTAAACGGTCAAATACATCAGCTAATTGTTTTAACTGCATTTGTAAGTTTATTTAGTTTGGAACTTTATAACAATGTCTAAAACAAGTGAACACTTTACTATTGTTTTAATCATTTGTAAACTGTAATATCATTAAATTATTACCCTATTTGAGTCCACATAATTTAGATGTAACCTCTATCATATAAGCCAAACGTGCATCGTGTATAAGTACTAATTTGTGTGTTAAGCCTTAAAAACAGGACACTCTGTATAGTTAAAAATAACTTTAGACTATTGATCTTTGACTTTTTATTTTATTTCTAATAGTTAATAAGATATCGAGGACCCCGTTCCTCTTACCCTTTAATTCAACAGAAAAAATCCAGATTCGTTATAAAATAAGACCACTACGATTTGCATGTATCTATTTAATAAAACTGCTAGTTACTTCTCTTCTTATACTACTTAGTTTGTGCTAAAGACAAAAAAGTTATGTAAGAGTAGCCGTAATATTGCATTGCGACTGGCACTTCCCTTTCAGAATTTCTGCAAAAGTGTAGACGCTGCATTAAAACTTATTTTTCTGCATTTTTACACAAATTAGTCTGTTCTACGTATAACTGATACCATAATCAGTTAATCCGTCAAGTCGATAATCACAGTGGGCATTTTTTTTTTTACATTGTCTGGTCCAGTGGTCATCAATGCCTTGGATCTCTACCATCTAATAACTGACGATCTTGTTATAATGATCAGTTATTTGAGCTGATTTTCGTTCAAATGTAACCGATAATTATTGGGTCAATTGCTTTCTAATAATAGTCCTCGATTTCAGTTGTCCATATTCATAGGTACGAACGATTGTAGAGTGAATTCCGTAAAATAATTCTGTCGTTTGCATTTCAAGCATCTTGAATTACTTACTTATTCGTAACTTTTTTAAGCCAAATTAAAAATGGTGATTTCAATAAAACTTTTCTTTCAGCTATTTTACAAAGGACTACAGTCGGCATTGGACAAATGAAAATTCAAGGAGTAGCTACTTGTCAGTATTTATGCATGGATAGCTGCGGATTGCTCTACGGATCGGTAAGTAATTCAAACATTTTTATATACTTTCACTCATTGTTCTCATTATTGTGGTTTTTAAGTTTTAATTTCTAAAACGTAATGAATTGAAGCGTGCCTTACTAAACGGTTACTAAATACTACATAATTTAAAGAAATATATTTATTTTATTATTCATACTCACGGACAAAGAGCTTCGGTCAGAAATTCGCATTTCTGAATTAAGTCTGTAACGCTAAATTAATCGAACCGAAACAAAATTTTCGGGGCAACCAAATTTTTGAAATGTGAAAACTTTTCGTAAAAGCTAAATGAACTATAAACAGTGTTTATTGCAAAAGAGCTATATAAAATGAAAGAAGACGCAACACTCAAGCAAAATGTTAGAATTTCATGTTTAGTACATGATGATATAAATGTGAACAGAAGGGTAAGAGAATTTTCGTGCAGATATGTTTGCTTCAGAAATGAAACTATTCACTCTTATTGCAAAGCTCATTTTTTATTTTCACAATAATAAAGTTAACGAAGAATTGAAGGAAATATATATTTTCCGGAGGCATAAATATTGTGATGAACGACATAAAAATTTTGTATGCACGTAATAGCCGACGTTACTGGATAATATTGCGTTAACACAAATTAAACAAACACACAAATTTAAAGCGGAGAAAAAAATTCCATAGAATAAACACGAAAGCTCATTGCTCTATTCGTTTACGTTAAAATCCGAATATCACGTCAGTGAGATTTTTTTTGCCTTGATTTACCATCGAAATTTAAAAGTTTGATTAGAATTAAAATTTAAGATAAATAATAACTTTTTGTCGATAGTGAACTGATGACTAAATGTAAAACAATGAGGATTCAATAAATTTTATCGGTTGTCAGGTGTTTTAAGTGAATGTAAACTTGACATAAAGGATTTATGAATAGTATTTAAACTGTGTTACATTAAAATGGATCATGTTGAGGTTCCTTAAAGTGTTAACGCATAAAAGTGTTGTAATAAAATACAAAGCACCAAATTAGACCGCTATAAAACCGTTGTGAGATTTACTTAGGGAACTAAGAAATACTTATCTGCACCATCTTAATGTCGGCAATAATTACTCGGTGGGATTGATTAGGGAGCGGAAGGGTTGCTGGGTTATCTTTTTCCGAGAATGTCGTGTAAAGGCGCCAACTATGGCGCTGTACGCCAAGTTAATTTGTTAGTATTGTCGACCAGTCACTTATCTAATTAACACTTAATTAAAATCTAAATTGCGTGTGTTCCCCAGTATCACGAAGTAACGACGGTACAGAAATGATTTATTACCTCCGACCGAAAGTAAAACCACTTGAAAAAATGTATTTCACAATCCAATCAAGTGCCTTGCTTTATATCAATAATCACCTCCTACTGCCTCTTAACAACTGTTTTCAAGTGGATAATTTTTACAGATCGCAATTTATAAACATTTACGTAAATCTGAAAGCTTGATCGCATTTATCTAAAAATTACACGGTTTTTGAAATATTAATGTTAAGAGAAAACACGTTTTAAGGAATACGAAAAATGAAAGATGGGTTTAGTCTACCTTTTTGCTAATAATTAAACGTTTCGGCACCGAGTTAATATTGTTACAACACAAAATTTATCGCATCTTGTAAGGCACTGCACTTGACCCATTATATGTATTTAATATAAAATTAATCAAATTGTTATGAACATTCACTTCGTATGGTGTGAATGATATCTGCTGAAAAAATAGGTTAAGATAGATAAGCGCACATTTCTCGATACTTAAAAAATACTAAATAAACATATCTGTAATCAAACACCGAACACCATTTTTAGCTACAGGTGCCATATGTGTAGTTACTTGGTAAAAATGGCGTAATAGCTTCAACAGTTCAACAATGAATAAAAAAACATTAGTTCTAATAAATGTACATAGTAATATGAAGCGTGCGACTATTCTAATTTTAGGGTACCTCCCCTATGGCGCGGAGACATGGAACGCTGAACTTTTGTGATTGGCGGATATTATACTTTGCTTGGATTCAAAATCACTCTGTAAGAGGTTACTGTCAGGAAATAAATTTATATGACTTATGCTAATCATTTAATTTTGAAGAGCAGAATTGGAGTATGAAAACTGTTTTAAATACATATGTATGTTTACAGCAAATCAAATATAGGTAATTAGAACTTTCAACAGGACATTGTGCCTGAATGTCAAAATTTCAACTAATGACAAACGTTCCACGTTCCGCGTTTCTGTTCGCCAAGAGCGTACCTACCCTTACAGTGTTCCATTAATATTTAACTCTCCAACTGACAGATCTGATTCTAACTAATAATTGATGTATGTTCCTATTCAAAACCTTTTTGTTCCAGTCCTAACATCAAAAACTTCATTTTATACAAAAAATGAGAGGCCATACGGATTTGGAAGGAACGCAAAACTCTTTTGGTTTTAGCTTTAAAAAGCCCATGTGCGAGAAATAGGTGAGGGAAAAATTAGTGTATTAATTGTGATTGTTTATTTTTTTCTAAATTTAATAAATACATATAACTCAACTAACATTGTTCAATGTGTCAAATGTATTGATTGGAACGATTTTAACGTGACAATAAGAATGGTTAGATATAGAGAAGAAAGCAAAGGAGAGAATGAAATAGAAGAGTACATTTAAATGTTAACGCTTGATATGCTGTTGCTCCATTTTTTCGTTTGCTTTGTTCATATCAAACTGGACAGTAGTTACACATAGAAAAGATCATGTACCATATTATGAACATTTTGTTTTTTTCATGAGCGAAACGTAAAAATCGTCAACGCTGTTTACTATACGTATGCAAAAATCCTGGAATATGCAAATACAAACGACCAACCAACTATTCTTGGAGTGTTGTGTTTTATTTTATTATTTTTTTTTAATTAATAATTTCCGTGTGTGGCCGATTTGCAAAATTCAGAATGTCTGATGTTTTCTAGAATCAGGAAGGATGCAAGTTGGTGAAAGATGGTTTTTATTTGAAAATACAGCATCATTAGACGCTATAATTCTGACCCATAATAAATAGGACAGAGCCCTGTAGGTGGTAGGATGAAATGCACTTTTGGTTAATTGTGAACAATCAGATAGAATATTTTATTAAAGAAGTACATATTTGTAGATAGAACTTAATCGATATTGGTTGAATGGGATTTAATCCTTGAAAAGAAACGTAAAATGTTTTAGAACATTGAATGTTACCTAGTGAACGATTCTAATAAATATGTATTGTACATTTGGAAGGCTTTTTTATGGGTGTTACATTGTGATAAGAGGATTATAGGTTTGTAAAAGGAAACTTGTTAGGAGGCTCAAATAATACAATTTACATGAAATGAGCATTAGTTTGCGTCGACTTTTTGCATTCGAATAAATTAAATGTTATAGTAGTGAAGCCTCAGACATAAATAAAAAAGAAAGCATTTATTTTATCGATGAATCTGGTCGGACGAGTAAGATTTGACGATATTGAAGCACAAATTTATTCAAACCTGGTTTAGGACAGCAAGAAAAAGAATTAGGGTATAATAATTGTTAAAAGTTTCTTTTTTAGTTTTTGTAGCCGGCGGTCTTTTTCTCTTGTATGTAAATTTTTCGGCGGATGAATGAAGCGATTTGAAATTGGGCGGTAGAAAGAAACTCACAGGTGTGAATCAGATTATTCCAAGGGTTTCATTAGTTGTATATAGTGCGGCTCCAATTATCGTGCTAGCAAATTAAGATGTATAGGCTGAAGAAGGCGTTGCCACTTAACGAATAGTATTTTATGATGACGATACTCAAGACGATTAACTCTTTTTCAACGAGCTGGAGTTTTTAGAATACCGCGACTTCATCTTTTACATTATAAATACAAATATTTATGTGATATTGGTTCAAAGGAGCGCTCTAATTGGAAACGATTTGAAATTTAAATTCAAAATTACCCTTTCAGTTCTTTGCTTACAAGGTATTTTTATAATAAATTACATACTTTTGAACGCAATTTATATCTGTAATTTCGCGTCAGCAATCGCAATTTGTTTACAGATATTTGCCAGTGACACGGTGAATCTTCGGACACTAAGTCTCGATGTTAAATAGTATGTATGTATACATGGCTTACATTTTTATTTATAGTTACCGGTATCACAATGAACATCATAGTGAATATTTGACGTTTTAATTCTCCTTTTTCTCATTTCCTTTGTGTTACTTCGTTATTCTTTTTTGTTCTCACTAACACCTGCAGACTGTTTTTCAATTGTTAAAATCCCATTATTAGTAACTATGAAACACGTTATTATGTCTTCGAGTTCGTTTTGTCGTTGCAAATAACTTTATAATTGATGACACTCTGAGAAAAGAGCTCTCAAACATTTACATTTTTTAATTAAAAATAATTTTTGAGATTGAGTTCTTTCTTCAGCTTCATTCTCAGGGAAAAATCTCGTTTTTCAAGTCTTTGCTTTTTTGTTCCTTTGGTACTCGTTCTTGCAGTAATTACAACGGCAAACAACAATTACATTACAATTTTACCTTCATGAGACAATTTTGTTTCTTCAATTGAAACGTTAATTTAAAACGTCAAATGCAGTTAGTCCCGAAGTGCTCAGTACGACTTTCTTGTAACTGAGTGTTACTACTACTCGTTGGAAATAGAAGTCGTCGTCGTCGTCGCTACTTTTTTATTATTACCATAGCATCAAACATGCATATTAAGGCATAAATATTTGTCGCACATAATAGTGATGAAAATTGTCATTTAACAGCGAAATGATGTGTAAGATGCATTTAAAGTTATATTTTACAATGCGATTATGCGAACATACAGTATGATCATGTGCTTAAAATGTCTCTTGAGTATATCTGTCTTCGTATGCCCATTGATAATGAATTTTATGATGGCCAATGGAATACATAATAAGTATGATATGTAAACGTCATGGTGAAATATTCAAATATACATATTATACAACCAACGTTCCTCGATAATAATAATTATGTAGTACAACAATCCACATTTGCAAATTCTACTAAGTTTATAGTACTTGACAAGTGAACAATCTATCCACTTTAACTACTATCAATAATAACTCCGGTTCGCAAATTTAGTAGAGTAAGTACACACAAATTTCAGTCGGTTACTTTCTCTAATTCCCCTACATTAACAGAATTATAACTTGGTCATGGCCCGTTCAGTTTCACTGAATATGATTACGGGTTCTCTTTTAATTTTTTTTCCTATTGATGTTTTTTTTTGATATCAAATCAAATTACCCAACAAAGTTTTTGAATAACACTGTGTATATTCAAAATTGAATTACACAGGAAGTGTTATAAAAACAAATTTCAAAATTGGCCGAAGGTTATTTAGGCAGAACTTCCCTCGCCCCCTGAAGTACCTTACATATCTGAGGTACACGTAACGAAGCATGCATATGTTTCAAGTGAATTTTCCCATCACAAAATTTTGTGATGATGTCATCAATATTTAAACAAGGACACATAATTACGGTGTTTTGCTTATTTTAAATAGGATATATTTGGCAAAATTTTGACATGACGTCATCAGTTTTTTGAGAGGAGGTAAACGCATAAATTTTGTTTAACGATTTATCATAATTATGATAACCTTATAAATGTTTGCAAGATTTCAAAGGCTTCATTTGTGCACTTTCGAAGTTAAATTTCTAAATGTTAAACAATTTTATTTGTTATGCAATTTTAATTGCTCTGTAATTTGCAAACGTTTTAAAGTTATCGTACGCACGGTACATCGTTAATAAAATAGAGACTTTTGAGATGACGTCATCAAATTGTTGGTGAATGATTAGCCAAATTTTGGTTAGCGTTTTACCATGTGCATGATATTACTAATATACAGACAGACGGACGGAAACGGGAGACCTATTTTTTCGTACTCTCGGGGGGTCATGAAACGTAGAGAAAACCTGTAAGTAGCCGGTCGCCAAATGGACTCGATTACAATACTTCCTTGGCTTACGCTCGGGCAATAGAAACATGATTGTTTATGCTACATCACCGTTTACTTTATGCAGCAAAAATTACACAATTCACTTTCAACAAATTGAGAGTTATTGTTGTGGTTGTTTTTGTTGTTATTGTCATCATCATTATAATTCTTGAAATATGTTCACGAAAATTTTGTGAAAATACCTGCGAATACGAAATTTAAAGAGTTTAGATTAATTAAATGCATAGATCATCATTACAGATCAGTAACTCTTTATTAAACAAAATAGTCTATAAGTTTGTTTAGGTTTTCTCATAATTGAGTTCATGTCACTAAAATCTCGAAACTTATTTCCGACATACCCTCCTTTATATTCATGTAATCTATCCTACTCCGCTCTTGTAGACTATAATATTGGCCAGTTTGGTGAAAGACATTTGCATTTCCACCTATCCATGTACGGCTTATTATTATTATTATTATTAATGATATTAGTATTATTATTAATTTAAAGAACTGCTGCAGATATTTTGGATTGAGTGTTACATAAGACAAGAAATTTACAATATATTTATATGTAAATATGTAGTAATAAAAAAGCTACGTGTGATTGTCAACTAGCGTTCTGAGATATTTTCTTTTCTTACAGAGAGAATTCGGAGATGAATGCATATTCAACGAGACCATTGAGCAACACCATTACAATACATATTCGTCTACTAAATACTCCAACGAAAGGAGAACCTTGTACCTGGCTTTAAATCGGCGAGGACAGCCGCGAAAGGTCCAACTTCGTGCGCGCCAACAACTGGGAAGACTTTCTTCATATACACGAGTGTTAACCCGTACCGTGGCTCCAGAACGAGCAGAAGATTTGCATCCGCTACGACACCACACTCACATGTGCTCGTCTACACCGACGACCATAGAATCGAATGGGCGCTTACCCACCCCCACGGCTGATCGACCGATCGACCCTCCGCGCTGTCGGAAACGAAGAAAGCGGAAGAAGAAAAAGCGAAAATGCCCCCCAGATGGTGAAAGCGAGACCGAACTGTGCCACAAAAGACATAATACGTCGAATCATCGAAAACTCCAACCAAACAGGTTAGTGAAGAAGTGTGAAAATGAAGACAGTGACGAGTGCCAAAGAGATGTGACTGTTAATAAAAAGAAACAAAAAAATAGTGATAGATTTTTATCGAACGGCCCCAAAAAGAAGAAAAACGCTAAAAAAGGTGCTAAAAAAAGACACCCGGTGCCTGTGATCACGAGCACTGAAGTCGCGACGACCGCGACGGATGACGTAACACACGATGAAGATTATGGCTTGGATTCCACGACCCATTGGGACTGGGACGACTCCACGGCTGTTCCGGACGTCTCTATGTCCATTTCCATGTCCATGCCGGGCACTCAAACTTCTGCCCAACCCGACTGACTCACTTCGGCGACCTCCAGCGCCCCTTTTCCCTACCCTCTTTATTTATTTGTAATATTTATTGTATGTTGAACATTGTACATAATTATATAAATAAGTGAAATATACCTCGCTATAAATTTCCGAGTTTTTTTTTATGTAAGTCTCATCTTCGTTAGCGAAACCTCTCATTTACTCGTGATACTGTTGTAGTTTTAGTGAGTCTGTATAGCGCATTTTCATTAATAATAATTCGAATAAAAAGCATGTGCTTTTTGTTGTAACAACATCATACTGTTTTCATCACTCAGCCTTGTCCCAACTTAATACGAAATAACAAAGATCAACCATTTTCTCTGTTAATTCCAAAATCTTTTTTTTTATTATCGTTATTTTAAAATTTATATTTATCACTGTAATTTGTAGTGGTGTATAATTTTCAATTAATACTCAATTTCACTCAACTCATTTATCTATATTCCAGTGATGACTTCATGTAACTAGTGATATGGTAACAATAACTACAAATCTAGTCGAAAATTGCATTAATTGAAAAACATACACTCGAAAGTCGAACTGTATCCACTAAGAATACCAGAGTAAAACCGTTTAAGTGAACGCACAAAATTCACCTAGCGAAATCCTAACTTTGTTGTTTTCTTTAAGATACAGTTCTTACTTACGATACGTGTGCCACTTTTGTTATAATTTTTGTAAATCAAACAAAGGTTGCACTCAAATAACATGACCATCGATGTATAATTTTTAATCAAAAAATGATCGATTAACAACCCTATTTAAACATCAGTATTATTTAGTGCTTGTAGTAACATATATTGTAAATTGTAGTACCTACAATAAAATACTGAAAGTAAAATTATTGCGTAATTATATTAAAATCCGACCAACCACAAAAATAGCAAAAAGCAGTAAATAACAGGTAAGAACTGAAGTTGTTTGATCGCAAGGTCATGTTAGAGGACCTTTTATATACTCGAATGGCATCTTGAATTAAAATAATTTCGAGAGATACTTCCAACACTCCGTGTTACGAATTTAGTTTCGACTACACACTTAAAACATGTAGTTCATACATAATAATGTGTCATTTGCTTTTGAGAAACCACCGAATCAAAAACAATAACGTGTCATTTATGCTAATAAGGGATCAACAGAATCTATACAAAGTACTAAATAAATTATTTTACAATGTTATATGTATTCATAAAGAAATGTTCCTTTATGATCGATTGTTAAAGAGGCTATGTCGAGATTATATTAATACGAATAAAGCTAATTTAAATCTTCGAAAAATAAGATTATGTTTTCGATCAACATGTTCGTTGATCTTCAAAGAACTTAACTGATCCCATATGTCACCGGAAAAATTACTTCATTTGTTATTTTTATTTGATGATTGGTTCTTTCGACCAGTGCCGATATTTCATCCACATAAATAAGCCAGAATAACTTTCACAGCTGTTTCAACAGTGATTATATTCCACAAATAAATTTCGTAAATGAATAACCTAGGTACCTATTAAAAACTCCTTGTGACATACATAAGTAAAATATTTCACATCTGCACTTTGGGCAACAAACATTTTCCTTGTAGGGCTGAAAACCAGAAGCGTAAATCTCCTGAAAATAATTTATTTTTTTATCAGTTTATTTTGTTAAACTGGCGTGTTTTTTTAGTCCTTTAATAAAAATTTTAAAATATCACTGTAACTGATAGATTTATACTAATATATTTCCATACGAATATAAAATCAGCTGGATATTGAATAATAAAAGCATCCAAGATAAAAGCAGCCACTTACGACGAGTCTACAAGACGGTAACATCTCACCTCCCTACAAGATAAAATATTTTCTCTATTAGTACAAAACGTAACTCCTGCTGAGACCGAAAGGTGAGTTCCAGAAGTGGTTTGGTTTACTAAACACGACGACGTGCGTAATGTAGGTAAATCATTTGATAATTAAACCCAATAAAATTGAATAGTAACAAAAAACTGCAATGATGGTTTAACTGTTTATGGAATGTTAGTGTTACGTTATGCACACATCAAGAAAACTGCGTATTTATCTTCAGCATATATTATTATATATATATTAGAAAGTAAGACACAAATATTTAAAAAAATACTTGCAGTAAATACTTGCTGTCTTACAGAATGCCTAAATTACTTTACAAATTTGTTTCTTATATTTATACGTTTGTCTTGTATTTAACTAACTAGGAAAATTATACCTACATATATATAAATAGTGAAGAAATGGAGAATACAAGTTTGCTTATTAATCCTTAAATTGGCTTTATTTAAATATTCATGTTCATAACAGTCAAGTTACAACAGTTACACACAATGACCATATACATACGTTTCTCTCAGTACCTAACAAATTTTGACAAAGGTATTCTACCAACGACACTTTTGAGTGGGCCACAACAGATTTTTTTTAAGATAAAAACATGACCGAACATATTCAAACAAGAAGACTTACACCATCAATCCCATATTTGGTAGGATTATTTTTCCATCAACAAAAATTTGTGTAAGGTTTAAGTTTCCACTTGTATCACGTAAGTAAGTCGATATTTTCTTCGCGGAGAACATGCAAGTTAGATTGGAACTATATTCGTCCCGTCGTACCTAACGAAAATACTGTACTCGGGTCAGTTTAATTAATGTAATTTTATATTTGCACGAAATTATTAACAACCCATACCTACCATACGTAAATTGCTAAAAATTGCACTTTCAATACTGCGAATGGCTACTTTCATGTTTCTCGACGTTTCATGACCCCTAGAGTGCGAAAAAACATGTAGGTCTCACATTTCCGTCGGTTACTCTGTCGTCTGGCTGTGTCGAATGGAAGGATCTTGATTTTTTCACAAAAAACTAATATACGAGTTACTACTAAAATGTTGATGACGTCATCGCAAAATTTTGTTAAAGGGAAACTCACTTGAAACATGCTTCTTTACCTGTACTTTAACAGCACATATACACATACATCTCTTTGTTTTAACTTATAAGCGTTATGAAAAAAATAAAATTCGCAAAATTGAATTTTATAATTTTTCGAAGAAGCGGTAGTTGTTCGACTGTACTCTAGGGGCGAGGGAAGTTATGCCTAAATAATCTTGACCATTTTAACTTCCCGAGCATAAGTTAAATAACTATGTATTTGTAATAGGGTTCATCGAACGAATGACCACTACCCTAGAGTACAAAAAATAGAGGTCTTCCGTTTCCATCTGTTTGTCTGTATATCGCTAATATGTTGTTCAACTGTACATACTTCAGGCGCGAGGGAAGTTGTATCGAAATAAACTTCGACAAATTTTAAATATTCTGCACACAATTTTGTACCAGCTATATATCAATATCAAACGTGGGTAATTAAAGTACGCTATATTTTTAATTTCTTGGAAATTTTGGAAACGCTCTAACGTTATGACTAGTAATGTAGTACACTCATCCAATTCAGTAGGTAAATTATCTCTAACAATATAACGTTTATGGCCAAAACACCAAAAGCACAAAATATATAGAAAGCAAATTTGTATTGAAACATATCTTCTCACATGCATGCCGTATTTGTTATGTTTCAGAGGCAGAGAAATCCTCTGTAAATAAATTTACAATTTTTTCTGTATTTAATGCAGTATTTTATCTTTGCTGCCGTTCCGAGATGTGTCAAATGTCACATGTATTTCTTCTCGCCAAAGAAAGATACTCTTGTACTTGGTAATCTCTCACGTCGATCTGTTTCCAACTGTTGTCGTTATACACAGAGGCTTCCTTCGCGTAGACAATTTGATAAATTCATTTTCTTCATGATTCTGAATTTGTCCTAAAACTTCACTGACAGCGCAGATTTACGAATAACCCATCCAAAGTTTAAACTCTGCACAACTAGCTTTTGACAAGGTGTCAAATCTAGGTGTTTTTCTAGGCCAGCCCCCCCTCTAGTTTGTTAAACAAAAGTTTACAGATCACCTTAGATTGTTAAGCAAGTCACAAAACTGCAGCCTGATAACATCGAGATATGTGCCAATGTCATTGATTTATTGATAGCATAGAATTTTTGGCCGCAAGGGAACGTTTGGGAAATAACAATGAGTCCACTGCAGAAATCTTCAGAATAAATTCACAGGTAATTATTAGTCAGGACGTAAGATATAATTTTTCCGCGAAGATGTTATCGACTAATCTGGTCTGGAGTGCTGTTTTGCACGTAGAAAATAATTTGCCAATGTGACTAACCTAATGTACTGCATCCTGCATTCAATCACATGATATGCTGGGACATTAACTTCGTAAATACAGACGCTTTAACTGATTACTTATCAGAAAGAATCAAATTTCTGACAAACAATAGGAAAAGTAGAACTTACTTTAACGTGCAGTCGGATTCATACGAATAACAACAACAATAATGAAAATGTTGTCGTTATCATTGCTATTTTTGACAATTAATAAAAAGGATATTAACGGGCTTAACAGGTATAAATTGTCTAAAATCAGTTTTAATAATGGTTACTACAGTGCCTTTGGCAAAGATTGCATCGCTATCATAACTGATTACATTTAGCATGTTGGAATCGGTTTAACGACAATTATCGGGCAGAATTTAAATGTGCGTTGGTGGTAAATGAAATCTGTTCAAGTCTTATTAAAGCAATTACCCGTTCAGGTGCCAATTATTATAATAATATTAAATTTGAGCCGTGTGAAGCTACAAATCTTATCGTAATTGGATGATGTATAGACTCGTTCCACTTAAATTTTTGCAGTTAACGCATTACTCGTGTGTGTGTGCAATTAAGGCCTCGTTGGAAACTACACTGTCCACTTGACCCAGCTGAAACATAAAGAATTGTTCGTCCTGCGATGTCATATTGTTGAATTATCTTCATAATATTTTAGTTTAATCAAGTTGAACGAAAAGAATCATTCTTATTACTGTAGTAAATTCACCTTTTCACGTGGTGTAATAATAATTATACCAAGTATTTATTGTATGTAGCTTCAACCTGCCTAACAATGCTTTAACAGTTCACCTGGTAATATTTATGTAAATCCAAAACTCGTCTCGACACAAAGATACGATGTTCGACTTTCTTATCTCGATTATCCAAATTGCACAGTACAATTGTCTTGGACAGTAACCGCTGTTCGTCAAAGGGCTCTAAAAATGAGATAGTACTAAACTAAATTAAACTCAGTGTGATTAACCTTAACAATTCTATCTACAAAATCTGTGAAAAACGAGACTTAACAACGACACTAATCAACTGATAAAACATGAAAATATACAATTTACATATTATAGGTACTTTAGTGAAATCAGTGGGGCGAATAAAAAAACTTGATGAGCTACTGTAACTTTGCTTTAAGCTGCTTGACTTTAGGCTTTCAAATCTTCGAGTCACGCTCCAAAACACACAATCAATAAATTGTATGCAAATATAAAGACACGAGTTTTTGAATCTATTACATTCGATACAATGTCAAAGTTGTTCAATTTCCGGTATAAAGCGTTAATACACATAACTCGACTTCCAATATACGCGAAACAAATATGACAGAACTGAGCAGACGATAGGTAACAACGGTTAAACGGGAAACAGATGATATCTCAAAATTTTAGCGGGTTTAGTTTGGAAAGTAGGTTCGGAGCGTTTTTTGACAATTCCTAAACTGTCGTAAGTAGTGAGTACAGTTTCTCAATTTAATACTAATTTGCTGCTGTGGCATTAAATGCGTATGCGTTTGTTACATTAACAAGAGAGTTCACAAACCCTCATTAACTTTATATTGCAGGTCAGGATTTACTACATTCAAGCAAACAAACTTTA